AATCTCGAAGCTGTACAGGCCTGCGATTGGTTACAATCTAGCTGTGAGTAAAAACTGCCACACAAAAGTTGGCATCTTATCTACATCGTTCCGCCGCGTTATCGGACCATACCGGGGTTGGAAGATCGTTTCCGCACATGGTGTGCATCCTCCTGTTGCCCAACCCCACGAAAGCCTGCAGAACCATGCAGATGTCGAGCTGTGATCGCTGTCACCTTTAATAATTATCCGCGAATATGCACGCTAGCCCTACGGTTGGCTATACCTGCCTTATGCGTGCGGCCGATGAACGGTAATGCTCTTGCTTTATCATGGTTAAAGCCCTCTCCTAGAGGTCGTATGCCGGCAGATCATGACCGAAGCTTTCTGCGAAATCTCCCAAGCGAAGCTAAGCAGTAAGGTTAATCATATTTCAACTTCCGACATCCCTCTGGCATCGCACTTTCCACTTGCCAGCTGCTCGTCACTTGAGGTGTCTTTAACTCACCCAGCATGAGTACACCTCCGCCGCTAAGCCAAGGCTTTGGCTATGGCATTGTAATCGGTTTAGGCTTTGCCTTCTCGTAGGTCTTACGTCTCTCATACATGGGCATTACTAACTCGGCAAAGCTTCGGTATGATCTTGACGACATTCGTGCTGAAGAGATACAACTATGAACTCCAAACCTCTGAGATGTTCTCGACAGCTGGTCGTACAGTAAAATCGGGACTTGTCGCGTCAGCCGTAGTATCATCTTGGACATGGGCGGCAACACTTCTCCAATCGAGCGCAGTCGCCTACCGATATGGAGTATCTGGCCCCTTCTGGTACGCCTCGGGAGCGACTGTGCAGATCATCCTATTTGCTACGATTGCTATCGAGCTGAAACGAAGAGCACCTAATGCACATACCTTCCTTGAGGTTATTCGAGCCAGATACGGTCCAGTCACGCACGTCGTTTTTATGGTCTTTGGTCTCTTTACCAACATCCTTGTCACTTCGATGTTGTTGACTGGAGGCTCCGCTGTTGTGACTTCGGTACGTCAAACGCGGCGAATGATATATCTGTACTAACCTACTCAAGCTCACCGGCATGCCAACTGCTGCTGCTTGCTTCCTGTTACCTGTTGGTGTAGTTCTTTACACCATGTTTGGAGGCATCAAGGCCACTTTCTTGACTGACTATGGTAAGTTACTCTCTTCTACATTTGCAGCAAAAAGTCGCTAAAATTACCTCTAGCACACACTGTTGTCATTCTGATCATCCTCTTGATGTTTGCCTTCACCGCATATGCGACCAACGAGAATCTCGGAAGCCCTGGGAAAGTCTTCGATCTACTGGTACAAGCCGCATCGGATCACCCAGTCGAAGGGAACGCCGGAGGCTCTTACCTAACCATGCGATCGAAAGAAGGTGCAATCTTCTTCGTGATCAACATCGTGGGCAACTTCGGTACTGTGTTCTGCGACAACGGATACTATAACAAAGCCATCGCTGCCAGTCCCGTCGATGCTCTTCCCGGATACATCATTGGTGGTCTGTCCTGGTTCGCGATTCCATGGCTAGCCGCTACCACGATGGGTCTCAGCGCGATCGCCCTGGAGAACAACCCTGTTTTCCCCGGCTATCCTAACCGCATGGCTGATGCTGATGTGACGGCTGGGCTTGTGTTGCCCACGGCCGCTGTTGCCCTGATGGGTTCGGGAGGAGCGGCTGCAGTTCTGCTTCTCGTCTTCATGGCTGTGACCAGCGCCATGTCTGCTGAGCTGATTGCCGTTTCTTCCATTTTCACCTATGACTTCTACCAGGTAAGCTTGACTTTACTGGTCATGAAAGCAAATTATTGAGCTGACGAAACATAGACTTATGTCAACCCTAAAGCTACAGGGAAACAACTCATCTACATGTCTCACACCATGGTTGTCGGCTTCGCTGTCGCAATGGCAGCCTGGAGTACAGGGCTTTACTACATCGGCATCAGCATGGGCTACCTATATCTCCTCATGGGCGTCATAATCTCGTCCGCTGTCCTGCCCGCCACTCTAACGCTGATGTGGTCGAAGATGAACTGGGTCGCAGCAACCTTCACACCACCTCTCGGCTTCGCCTGCTCCCTTATTGCTTGGCTCGTCACCGCACAGAAAGAGAGTGGAGAACTCACTGTGCTCACTACCGGCGCCAACAACCCTATGCTAGCAGGAAACGTTGTCGCCCTCCTCTCTCCCATTGTTTTCATCCCCGTCTTCACGTACGCTTTCGGACCCCAGAACTACGATTGGCAGAGCATGAAGGCTATCCGTAGAGGCGACGACCACGATCTTGCTCTTGACGCGAATGTCGACCTAGAACGAATCCCCGGTGAACAACGACGAGCCATCGAAGCTGATGAAGAGGAACAAGCCAAGTTGCTCAAAGCATCGCGTATTGCGCGCTGGCTCACGCTCTTCATGGCAATATCATTCCTCGTGCTTTGGCCCATGCCCATGTACGGTTCTTCGTATATTTTCAGCAAGAAGTTCTTCACTGGATGGGTTGTTGTGGGCATTTTGTGGATGTTTTGCTCGTGCTTCGCAGTAGGGTTGTATCCGCTTTGGGAGGGGAGAAAAACAAGTGTCAGGACATTCAAGTCGATCTACATGGACATCACTGGGAGGAAGAAGCCGGGTAAGGGGCCAATGGTTGTGGATGGTGAAGGCACGGATACACCTCCGGAAGCTATGCATGAGAAGATGGTGGAGAAATGAGTTGTAATCGGAAGAGAGCAGGATTGTCCATCGCTGTCTACCTAAGAACACGACCGTAAAGACCGCGTAGCTAGAGACTGAGCAGCCTGGGCATTAGCCCACAAGGCGGTTCCAAGCCACTAGTGCTACAATCGACGTGTTGCGCGAGATTCCTGATAGAGTATACCAAGATGTTTCAAGGCTATTTCCGTCGGCACAATTCGTATTTGCCGGTGTTGACCGAAGTTTTCTAGGATGGGTCTCTGACCATTGGATCTGGTGGCTATGCCTTCCGTGGTCTAGCGTCGATGAGGCTCGGCTTAGCGACCCACGTGGCAATAGCCATCCCACGCAAAAATCGCTACCCCTAGATGTACCGGCTGACCCATTTACAGTGCCGCAAGTCGTCTTGTACATGTCGAGTGTGACGGGTACTACGATTTTAGCATGCAATGTGCAAATCCGACGGAGCAAGCTCTTCCTGTGCACCTGCCTTTTCGATCCAAACATACGCCCACGATGCCTAATGACAGGCGGTGAAAAGATCTAGAAGTCACGACTTTGCCCGAGCGTGAGGCTAAACTAAGTATCGTCAAATTGTCCCTTGCCTTGGCCGATTAATTTTTCTGACTGAACCCTTGTCTCCACGTCTTCTCCAGTTCTTTCTTCCTTCTCTCCACATTCCTTTTCCCTGTGTGCGTTCCTTGGTCTGTTCATTTGTTAGCGAGGCGTCAGATGAGTGACAGTCTTACAGGCAGTTGTCTGCCACCATCAAGCAGCTTACCACCTATTCGTTCACTGCTATCGGTATCGGAAGACCAGATATTCGCCGCTCTTAAGAACCTACAAACGCTGTACTGTCCTGTACGCCTTCCAACTACTATCCCACACCCGACATCGAAAAGAGAGCACACGTCTATCGTCTCACCCCCTGGACCCGCGGATTCCGGTTACGCGTCTCAAGACGAAGGCGAAGATGATGAAAACCAAGTCACAACCGAAGAGGTGACAGCAGCTCTGCGTGCAGACCCATTCGAGCGCACTTTCGCCACCCAATGGCTAAACTCGCTCCTCGCGCGGTCGGAAGAAATGCAGGTCGATGACGATGTACGAGAAAAACTTGTCGACGATGCCGGCTTCATTCTTTCAAACCTATTCGAGAATGCCGATGAAGAGGAAGAGGCGCTGACACGAGACTTCTGCTTCTCCACATCATCTGGAGATTCAGTCAAGGTCACGCTCAATGACGCGCCACTGTCGAGTACAGATCACACAGCTGTCGGACTTCAGTCTTGGGGTGCCAGCATCGTACTCAGTAGCATGATGTGCGCCGAGCCAGAGCGCTTTGGACTGACTGAAGACAGTCTTGCAGTGAAGCGGACAATCATCGAGCTCGGTGCAGGCACTGGACTCGTCAGTTTAGCAGTCGCGAAATTACTTCCTGTGGTCGGCGCTGGACCCGTCAGCATCACGGCGACCGACTATCACCCTGCGGTTCTAGAGAACTGCAACGCAAACATCGAGACAAATTTCCCTTTGAGCTCATACGACACACCACCTGTAGAGACTGCAATACTGGACTGGGCTCAACCTCCTACACACATGAAGTCAGCATCAGATCTTCTCATCGCCTCAGACGTAGTCTACGCTCCTGAACATGCCGCCTGGTTACGTGATTGTGCGGCGCATCTCCTGGCTCAGAACGGTGTATTCTGGCTTATGGTCACAGTGCGCAAGACGGGCAAATTTGAAGGCATTCCTGATACTGTCGAAGCCGCTTTTGAACCGGAGTTCTGTGTCAAGAGCGACAGCGGGTTGACGTTCAAAATACTGGAAAAAGAATTTGTAGAGAAGAGACGGGGTATTGGACGAGGTGACGAGAGTGGATATAACCTTTATAGAATTGGATGGGCATAGACCAGAGCGATTTATAGACTAGACAGCGCAAGCGACCTAGCGGGCTTCATCAGTGCGCACGATGTTACGAATTCAACACCTAGATCTAAGCTCTTGTGTTGACGATACTTCTCTTTTTAAGAGGACCTAATTAGATAGGTGCATATAGAATTTAGAAGTTGTAAGTTGCTTATTTACTTTGCGTTACTGCAGTACTATAGGACAAGATAGAAGAACTAGAGTATGCATCGCACTCTAAGTTAGAAGAGGGCAATATAAGATGGTCGCTGCTGCGTCTTCGTTGCTTGCACAACGCACACACTATACCCAGATCTAAGACCTTCGCAACGAACTAAGGTGCTCTTACTTACGCGCCAGACACTTCCTCATCCTCTGACACTCAGTAATCCCCAAATTTGTATCTTGCTCGCGCAAGTTTGTCCGCTTCTGGGTACTTTTCGACGTTGACAGCCACAGTCGCAACACCGAGGGGGGTATCAACCGTCCGTACGATGCCCAATAACCTTATTGCAAACACCCACATCCTGTCGTTGACCTCTAATCCCTTGACTACGAACGGCCCAAGTGGCAGCGCCAGCTCCTCGATTGGTATGAGCACAGCGAGCTTCTCGAGCGTGTCCTCCATATCGTCAAATCTCGCCTGTATTCCAGGAATTATTTTTAATCCAACATCCCAAGCCTCCCTCATATGCTTGAAGTAGTCGCTATGAATCTTTCTCGCCATGAGGAATTTGGCGTTGTTCATGGGATCGGTCGGGTTGGCGAGCCATTCTGCACCGGCTATTTGTGCTTCCGTTTCTACTTGCTTCAGTTTGATCTCTGCCAAGTCGATGAGCTTTCGCAGAAATTTTTGTGTCATGTTCAGCAGTCTTCCAGTATCCTTCATGGGACCATTGATCAGGTTTACAAGAGCAGGATCCGGAGCACTGTCGGCGAAGTCTTTCCATGCCCTGCGCTGCGATTGGAAGAGCGAGTTGGCGCGAGTGAACAGGTATGTAAGCGGGGTAAGAGATAATTTCAGGACGAGCTTTTTAGTCTGGGAAGACATGCTTTGATTGAGTGATTGGTGTTGGTTCTTGGAGGGCTGTGAAGAAGCAAGTGATACGCTCGTGCGCTTCTTGTTTGCATGATCGTAAAGAGAACGGTGAACAAAGTCGAAGGTGTCGCAAAGCCGGAACTTCATAAACTGTCAATCAGTTGAAAAGATAGATCGCATGTACTAGCTGCCACCATCCCTCTTCCTCTTCCTCTTCCTTCCCCCGTCGCCTGCTACAAATTCTACCCGATGTCGATCTTCGGTAATGCCCGCGAGAGGAAAGACATATTTTCCCATTGACTGACCTTGCGCGTACCAAACTCCATTCACCCATCCAGCACTATAAAGCAAACAATCCCGCTTGCCACGAGCCTCTTGGATCCTCCTACCGACTTCCAAGCTTGCTAGTCGTTCAGAATCATGTGATTGATCCCAGCTCGTGAAAATCTTTGCAAGGCAAGGTGCTCCGTTAGAGTTTAAGTGGGTTGCTTGCTCTGTCCTCCAACCATCTGGCTCCGGCCTGATGAAGATGGCAGCTGGCTCTGTATGCGGACGTGCTGAAGCCAGCCGCCCCAAACGAAGCTCTTGATCGTCGCGAAGAGCTTGATAGAGTGCGAACATCATGTCTAGTACGTACGGTGCAGACGGTGGTAAATCTGATCGCGACAGATGTTCATCAAAAAACAGTTGTCTGCGCATGTAGCTGGCGAGCTTGCTACCTGGCCATAGTGCTTCCAACTTCTGAATCAGTGCATCCAATGCCGTATGTGCATCCTCGTCGAGCTTCGTACCCCGAAGCACTGGACCTCGGCCTAGATCAGATAGAGCCTCTCGATCCGAATCGGTGAGACGGAGGCTGAGCTGGTCTGCTCGTATTCTTGATCGCTCACGAGGGAATAGTTCGAAAAGCCAGCCTTCCGTCTGAAGACCACGAGACGTGATAGTTGGGGATTTGAGACGACAGTGGTCGACGAAAGTTTGCTGGAATCGCAGATTAGGGACACTAAACTCGTGTTGACATGCCGCGAGATATGATTGTAACGTGTGCTGCATCAGGTTACTTTCGCAGGGCAGACGCGCACGGTCAGGTGATCCCCATGTCGTACTCTTCAATATCTCCCCATTCATTAGTATGAGTGCGAGCAGAGCTACAGAGAGGCTGTATTTGTCTGGCTTATGTATTGGAGATCCTTTCCCGATATCTATGCGCGTAGTAAATCTTAGAGCGTTTGCAAGGATAGCGATTCTGTCCTCCTCGTTCTCCAACGAACGGCTGCAAATATCGTCGAGCACACAGTTCGTAGTCGTTCGGTACGCTGGAATCTCGTAGCTGCTTCCGCGCTGATAGTTCTTGTCGTCGCCAGTATTACCGCGAATGCCATTCCTCCCGGAACGCAACAGATGGTCGTCCTGTGGCGGTGTGTAGCTCTTGTTGCAGATATTGTATTGTTTGAGCTTTTCCAGTATGTCGGTATTAGACCGCCGTTCCTCAGGGCGAGCCAAGCAAAACATGGTCGCATTTTGTCGGAGATCCTTGAGTTTGACCTTCAAGTCCCCAAGGATATCACCAAAATCATAGCCCTGATCTTTTCGAACACTTGCAGAACACGGTATGAGTAAGGTCATCCTGTTCGAGGCCAGATGATCTTCTTGGAAGATCCAGCCACGATCCCAGCGAGGGTCGCTGAGAATGCGCCGAATCAGCTTTTGTACTGCCAGAACATTGACTTCGGGTCTCAACTTTGGATTTTCTCTGTCCTTGGGGTCGACGAAAATGCGGCCCTGTAAGAGTTCAGATAGAAGATCGACTTGGTGTTGACGCGTAAGCTTCACGGTGAGTAGGCCAACCGAGACTTCACTGTCGCCGTAGACTAGATCCATGATCTGAACTCCCAGTTCCTTGTCTTTTGGCCACTTTCTCTCGTCTCCCGATCTCTGATATATGCACTCCTTGTCGATCCATAGTTTGGACACATTAACGCTCTGTGCGAATTGTATTACCCGATCCATGTAGCGGTCCGGAAAGTCACTTTTGTGCCGCTTCGCATGCGGCCTCCTGATTCGATAATCGAATACAGGGGGTTCAGGCTCATCGAAGTGAGCCCATCTCCATGAGACAGCAATGTATGCGTCTTCGTCGTCTTCTTCACGCTCCGTGATGGGGACTTCGCGTGACGGTATCTTTCGCTCGTAGAAATAACCGCGAGCCTTAGCTAGTGCGTAGCGGCAGTCTCGTTTCTGCTTCTCTGCCTGTAGATCTGGTATTTCGGAAATATCCAGAAACCGCAATTTCTTTGCCCATTTTTCAGCCTTGCTTCGATCAGTTGTGAAAGGTTGGACCTCTAGTAATTGCTTGCGGAAAGCGGATGGGTCGCCGTTGAAGATCTCGCCGAAGGTCTGATGAAGATCATTCCTCATGCTGTAAGTAAATGTTCAAGTCTTGTGGTTGATGTTGAGGAGGCGGAATGATGAGATGAGAGGAGAGCGAGAACGCGTCTCAGGTCCCCGCATGAGACGCGTTCCTTGTTCCACGTAATCACGTGTTCAGCTTGGCGGCGACGCAATAACGCGCAACCATCCCGACCTCTTGATGCAACAGCATTAGTCGAATCAAACGCAAAAAACGACGCGCCGCAAGCTGCTCAGTCTCAATGTCCGCCGCAACTACCTCACCAGCGTCCAGAACTCTCAGGTCGTAGCAATGGCACTTCGTGGAAACACAGATTGACTGCAATGCTGCGACGAAATGCAACGGAGTAAGCCGCTGCGAATGAATTCAAAGTACTTCCCAGCAACTTGAGAGTGTTGTCCGCTGCTAGGGATCGTTAAACTTTGAAGTAATTTGAGGAAAGAGATGCGAGCCCTGCCGAAGGACTAGGCCACGTGCTCCATCCAAAAGCGGTTATGCCTCGGCATGATCGTTTCAAGGGTCTCGGCCCACTCACTCATTCACATGCTTCCCCAGATTCGCAGCTGCATACATCATCACTGCTGTCACAAGCCTCCGACGCTCTTATATACCCCAGACTGTTCCGCACTCGCGACTTCGACTCCACAAACCTCTCCCGCTTAGCTACCATCGCCATCAGTCTCTACCTTCCTCGAAGCGCATCACCACTCTAGCAACACATCGCCAACATGTCTCTCAAGAACGGTATGCACATGCCGACCCTTCACAACCTCCTAAGGAACCTCAGAATAGTGTAACTAACACACTTCTAGACGAATTCCCCGCCTCCGCCGCCTTCGACGAGATTGCGCAAGCCCTTTCCGCTTCCGACGCCGACCGCAAAGACGCCATCAAGAACGGCAAGGCCATCTTCGCTTTCACACTCAAAAACAAGGCCGGCACACAAGAAACATGGTACCTTGATCTCAAGGAGACCGGCACAGTCGGCAAGGGTCCCGCCCCGGCTGGCAAGAAGGCTACCGCCACATTGGTGCTGAGCGACGAGGACTTTGGCAAGCTTGCGGCCGGCAACGCGAATGCTCAGAAGCTGTTTATGAGCGGGAAGTTGAAGGTCAAGGGAAACGTTATGAGCGCGACGAAGCTGGAGCCTATCTTCAAGAAGGTGCAGAACAAGGCTAAGCTATAGATGCGAGGCTGAAGGCGAATATATATACCAATTCTCTCGAGTAAGACACTTCTAATTAATGGGTGTTCAACATGTCAGCGGGTGTTAATGACCACAATGTTTGCGCGTGATATATACATATATATACATATATATATTGAGTTTAGGGCATAAACATGGCCTGTAAACAAACGTACGGACACCTTGCAGGTACCGCAGAATACGAGCACAACCCTGGATTTGATTGATTTTAAAGTAGACGTCCAAATCACACTGAACCAATGAGATGAGCGCAAACATAAGGTAAGAACCAGAAGGAAATATCATTGAAGGATCGTAAGGTCATACTATTCTACTCATACCATCGTAACCATGCGCAAACGTGATTTTCGGAGTAGTCGTAAAGGCCGTAGAGACGTTGAGTCGTAATGAGCGTGAGGAAGACAAGACAAAGGAAAGACGAAAAGAGAGGACATGAGAGGCCGTTATCCGAAACCCAACAACAAGAACGATAAAGACAGAAAGCAGACGCCGTAAACCATGCCCGAGGGGTATCAACCGTGACATACCACAGCAAAACTCCCTAGTACCAGACAAGAACCCAGGAAAACAAGCACAGCCACTTCACCTTACCATGACAGGCGAGCTGCCCTTCCAGCTCGAAAGATGCAGGAACCTCTTGCCTCCACCCCAGAAGCTATCTTTCTTACTTGACTGTCGTGGTCTACCCAACCACCTCGACAGCGCATGTTCTCTCCTCTCCTTTCCACTAACCTCTTCGATGGCCTGTTCGATCTCCTCAAGCAACGGGCCCATGACCCGCGGCTCGGCATCAATAGGCGAGAGCATAATGGGAACATCCATGACCTCTTCTTGATACTGCTTCCACCGATCACTCCCTGAGATGGTAGTCAGAGGTTCAAGCGCGAGATCCCAGTCGCCCTCGCGAAGCTTAACGTCTTCAAAGTTGAACTCGCGGAGGGAGCGCTTGTGCTTTGTGATGAAGTCGCTGATTTGCGCGGAGTCCATGAGCGCGTTTTCCAGTTCCATGACGCGGAGGCGAGGGAACTTCAAGGGGCGGGGACCATTGGTTTGGCCGCGAAGAGAGGGGTGGGTGGACTCCTCTCGGCTGGGAAGCATGCAAGGTTCACGGTCGAGTGAGAGGGGTGAAGGGCCTCGCTCGCCTTTCCAGCGGAAGAAGACACGCGTTAGGCCGCGTGAGAGTGTGGCGAGGTAGGCGTGTAAGATGCGGAGGTGTTCTAGAGATTGGGCGCGGGTGCGCGATGAGCTTGAGTTGAAGGGTATGCTTTCCATGCAGATTGAGAGGCGACGGATCTGACCCCAGCGCTTGGCTGAGGATGGTGTGCTGCCGAAGCCGTGCATGGGGTGGAGGTATAAGAGGCCACCAGGGTGGATAGGATGGAGGGAGAGAGCAGAGAGGCTGTACAATGGAGCGCGCTCAATGGCGATGCGGAGAGAGATGAGCGCATAGTCGACTACACCTCGTCGGTGCCGAAGTGAGCCAGTAGATCCCGGACATGAGACCTTGAGATGCGTGAGGTTGATCAGTTCAGAGAAGGCGGCGCAAAAGGCAGGGACATTGGTCGCGGCGTGGAACAGTGGCGGGTACTGTTTGATGAGCAAGTCCTGCATCTCCCAGCTGCCATACTTGGGTGCCTTGTCTTTGGCCGGTCCATGTTGCGGTGTCTGGACTTGGGGCTCGTAGATGAACTGCTTCTCTGTGCCAGTGCACGGGTCGATGATGGGTGGCAAGCAGGTCTCTGGGCCATGTGGCATGTGGAAGGTAAAGGTCTTGACGTGACGGCCTATCCTCGATAGCGCTTCGATGCGCGCTGGCTTGGAGAAGGTAGATGTCTTGAAGGTCACAGTCATCTTCTCAAAGAGCCGCGGCGCAGCCTTTGATGAGAAGTCATGGCATACAAGGCGGAAATTGGATAGGTCTTCAGTTTCCATGTGATCCAGTACATTGTCGCGGCAGGCGTCGTTTAACCAGAAGCGCAAGAAGACTGAGCTCGTGGAGAGGACCAGGTTGCAGATGGAGCCATTGGAACGAATCGCTTCATGACGTTAGGATGAGTGCGCGCGCATTGCGACGGGGTACTTACATCGTCCATCTACTGTCGTCGCAGGTGTCAATGGGATCTCTCCAAACAGTAACTTGGAGCTTGCGCGCGATACTGTTGTCGCAGCGCTGGCATAGCTGTTCTGGCTCTCACCCGAATGTGAGCGCTTCAGTGGCGGTGGCGATGATCGCTGTGAGTACATGTTGTAATAGTCGAATGGGTCGCATGCAATAGTGTTGGTTCGTGAAAAGGTCGTTTATTCTTCAAGGTATCAATCTCGTGGTAAATCTCAAGTAAATCGTAAAAGTCGTTTCAAACATCCAGCATTCGAAAGAGTAAGAGCGAAACCTCAGGAAACAGAAAATCCGACGGGACCAGCCACGACCTCGTCCCCAGCTGTATTTACCACAGCGCGGTGCATGGTTGCAAAGCGGGGCCAGACGCTACTACACGTGAGCTGCAGGTGTGAGTCAAAGGTCGTTCCCCTAGATGCCAACGAGCCCGCCACCGGATTCCCAACTCTTAACGCAAAGCAGCCGAAGAATTGATCAGAAAACGCGACCATCTCGCGGTGGGTAGACGTGTATATATGGTGTTAGACGCGACGATTCGACCAAGTGGTCGAGTGGGGCTGCAGCCTGGAGCCGGCTTGAAACGTTTCACTCATTCTGACCAACCGGCTCGAAGCATGCACGGGATAGTGTATGCGGCTCTTGCATTAGTCTTGCATCGTGTCTGCATCCGGGTCTTGGAAGCTGTGGCTAAACAGTCACGACTGGCGGTCAGCGATCCCGTCGCGTGCAGGGCTGTTACTCATCCCGTAAGTCAGGCACGACGCGTCTGTTAGTGCGCACAGTGGGCTCTGGACGTTGCTCTGGAGAGTCGCGATTCGAGGACCACAACAACAACAAATGCCGTGCTTGCATTGGTGCCGGCTATGCGCGTCTGTTTTGAAGGTGAAGGCTGTTTTGGACCAAGCTATCGATAGCTAGCCGGAAGGCGCGTCTGTGGCTAAGGCAGTCACTCAGTGTCAACACCATCAGAGTATCGTGACCGCATTGTGTCGCGTCGAATGCACGATGCAGCCTTGGGAGTAGGCGGTAGGTCTTTGTTTGTGGTTTTGGTACATCCGATACCTACAGCGCGTTCGCAATGTTGCTCCCACAGACGCGTCTGCGCAAAGCTCCCAACCACAACAAAGCTAGCGGTCGCAAACATCTACCAGTGGCACACCATGACCGCGTTAATGCCTCACACGCCTCACTTGATGGCTTGTGACAGGCATGGCTTGCATAGTGCCATTCTGCCGCTCTCCACCGATCTGCCGTGTAGCTTCACCGGTCACACGGTATGCCCCGCACCTGAACACATCTATCCAAGACTCTCGTCTACACGTACAAACGTTTTGAATGATTACATTGAGCTACATAGTGATTTGGTATTACAGCCAACTGTGACGAGGAAAAGATTGCGACATACACCATACTACAATATACTGTTTCAGATTGCTCCGCCGACAACTACAGAAAACCTATTAGCAAGGGTGATTACTGGGTAGAAAGAGATCAACCTCCGCCATAGAACTGCTGCATGCCCCTCACTTCGGTTGCAGCACGCATGCTTCTTAGGCCGTTCGCTGCGGCCCAAAGGTTCTTCTTGGTCGCATGTCGCTCGCCTAGACTCGCTCATCCCCTACCATATCGCCACTTCTCGACGCGTCTAGGGTGCTGATCCGCGGCATAGCCCTGTTCCTTGACGT